AAGATATAATTTTGGTTGTGAGTTTTATTGAAGCTGGCAGCTCAGTGACGATTATAACGAAGAAATTTTCTTCTGTAAAATGAAATAATATGTACATTTACCTTATTGCGGCTACAGCTTGTTTCTGGTGTTCACATTGTTCGTTTGTAACAAATAGTTCTTATGTCCTTTGTCCGAGAGAAAATGTGTGACGAATCTGTGATGTATTTCATCTTTTGACTCATTGCACACTCATTCTAGTGTTCGTTAATAAAAAAAAACAAATGATGACCGAGGGAGGAGAACACTGTTGAGGGGTATAACAGCATCATAATATCACCTGCATTTTGTCAATTTGCCACATCATGTCATAAATTATTATATATCGTCGTGGCTATTACAAAATGTGGTAGTTGCACTGTTTTAAATGAAGTGTATTTTTAAAGAAACTGAAGCTTTTTGAGGAGTCCTGTAAAATGACCATTCCAGTAGTCGACTCTGCTGGAAATAAAAGCGTGAATGAGTTTTTCCAGGTTGTTTTTTAGAAATGTGTTTCTTTCTTTCTGTTGTAATAAATTAAACTGATGATCAATATATACAATACAGCTGAAACTATTATATAGTATGTATCGATTGGAAGACAATCAATTAGCAACTATTTTGATAGATAGATTGAATACTTCCTCCACCACTGACACTGGTCTCCTGTATGTCAATCAACCACCCAACCACACCTTCACTCTCCATCTCTCTACAAAGGAGACACGACTTCCTGAACTTAGATATTATTCAGTCTGAATACTGGGCCGGCTTCCTGCGTGTCCGCATGGTTCACAGCAGTGTCTCTCTGATTAGTGTTGGCGGTCCACATGTGTCCACATGACACACACACATCCTGATCTTTAGTGACACAATTATGATTAAAGGAAAATTTTGTGACACGCTGTCCTATCTCAACCTCGGAGCTTTTGAACTTTGACCCCCACAAGGACACGTCTGTCACACTCACACTGTAAAACACACACATGATCAGATATTGTCTCACTTAATGAGTCTTTGTTTTTGATTTATTTTCAGTCATAAATCCACATTAACAAAACATGTGAGAGAAATGAAAACACCCATGAAGACATGTGAATATTTAAAGCTGGGGTGCGGGACTTCTACATATAACAACAAAAAAGTTCACACGATGCTGATTAAGCCTATCACCATCAGGTAAATCTCTCTGTATTTCGCAGATACTAGAGTTTTAAATCTGGTGTCCTGTGGCGATATTTCCCGCCAACTTGCACACCGGTAGTGATGCGCTTACGTTGTTAGTTTGCCAAAGCCAAAGAGGGAAGCAACCCTAGCGACAGAGGAGGCTTAAGCAACAAGAAGTACAACAACCTTATGATGGAAAAACCTTACATGCGTCCAAAAAAAGTTTCAGATTTTCCAGATTAAAAAAAACTGGGCGTTCAGAGGAAGGAGTACAGAAAAAAAGCTGGCACCCCATGTAACAAAGCTCTTTACTGCAGCGGCCATGGGTTTGAGTTCAACCTCTCTCATGCTCTCTCTCCTTCCCCCTATCTTGAGCTGTCCTTAAAACTTAAAAATAAAAATGTAAAAGTGATTTAATTCAATACAATTTTAATTAGTGAACCTACCATTAGCAGAATATTTACAAAATGGCAGTTATGAGACTCATTGTGCTGATGTATTTCAGTTTTCTGACATCACAACCAAATCTCTCTCTCTCTATGTTTTCTGCCGTCATTCAGACATCACACTGCCAGAAAAAACACAAACTGTTTTCATCACAATGCTGAGCAGAGACACAAAACTTCTGTTTTACTCAGAGTCAGAGACAAAATAAAACCTTCCTTCACCAGTTTGTGTAGCAAAAACAGTCGACTCACAGAGAATCTGAAATATTCTCTGACGTGTTCAGGATTTTACACACATACTTTGTTTTTAGAGACACACGTCAGTCACTGCAGTTTGTCCTATTTACACACAAAGACAAAACCTTATGACCATGTTATCAAGAGAAACAAAAGACACTTTTATCTGTAATACAATACTAACAGAGCTCCACACACACTGAACTGCTACTTTTTCTTTAAAGAAATGACATTGGTTTTATGTTTTTGACTAAAGATTGTTGCATAATATGAATGAGGAGTTTAAATAGTATTTTGTGGATGTTGTCCCCTATCACTTACACTGAAAGCACATTAGGAAACCATGTTTTAGAAGAAGATATTTTCACTCACAAACATTACTTTATTGTGGACTGAACAGAAATATATATATGTAAAGGTATGTGACATCAAATTGTAGATCCACCCCTGTAGAAAAGGCAAAAACCTTGTGGCAGAGATAATGTGTCAGGTGTCTTCCACTATGCTAACACTAAGAGACTGATTACAGAACAGAGACAGACAGTTTTATCTGTTTAACTTTCAGACATCATCTGTGTCTCGTGAGACTTCTCCTAAATGTGACCTCTCAGGTTTTCATTACATTTGTATTTTGTATATTTGTAGTTTTCTGGATTTTGCAGTTTTGACGGGTGGATTTTGAGTTTATTTCTGATGTAGAAATGTGTTCGTCCCTCACAGAAAACAGTTTGTCCTGAACATTTAAAAACTCTGTGCTGGTGGAGGTGTACTGAGGCTCGATTTCAAGGTGACTGGTTTTCTGAACTTAACATTTGACTATTCTCAAGCCATAGTTTGAGTTGTTTAAAGTTAGAAGTCACTGGTAGACATGGACTAATAGCTTAACTGCGTTGTGTGAAATACCTTCTAATTATTTTCTGGCCTCATCAAGCTGACGCAGCAGGAATAAAAGACAGACAGACTGCTTGTACATCACATACGTCCAAGAATGCCAAATATCTGAATGACATTTTAATGGTCGCAGTCACATTGTTCACATTTTGACTGAGGTGAAGGAACGCAGTAATGTTGAGCGTTCAGCTGAGCATTAAACACACAGAGGCAGCAGCCGAGGAAACTAAAACTGGAATATATCAGTAAATCTAACATGTGATGGTAAAACTTAAAGTCAAATGATACATATTTATGTGTGAAATTCTTGAACAGCAACAGTAACAAAATCCTAATTTTATTTCAAACTGATCAGATTTCTGGTGGTAATGATTTCAGATAAAATCTGCCCCCCAAAAGACCTTTTGAAATCTACATGAATCATTGACTCCATGAAGAACCAATAATGAGCAGAGAATTTGGCCAAAACTCACTGTTGTTTTAGTTGGGAGTTGGGAGTTGGGAGTTGTTGTCTTCACCACCATTGCCATCATTAAAATACTTTTAATAAATACTTTATCCATCTTAAAATATATAATGAATAAAAAATCAATTTATTACACATGCACAGAGAGGATATGACGTCAATGACAGGTGACCGGTGAAACGCATCGTTGGCTGGCCACGCTTAAAAGAAACCAACAATGACTTTGAAATGACTCCTGTGTTAATGTCGGATGTTTTCTTGACTCGGCTGTAAAAATGATTCAGTATATTCTGTATTATGTAAAATACTGGATTTTATTCCTCAGTCAGTCTCTCTGTCTGTGAGTCTCTAACCACCAGCTGTGCTCTGCTCATTAACCTGTTAACCAGCTTCCACATGGCTCCTGTTAAAACACACACCCACAGACACACACACACACACACACACACAGACAGTGGCACGTGTTAAACTGAAAGACAAGAGACTAAAGAGCAGAGACAGTTTTATCTGTTTAACTTTCAGACAGGAGAGCATCATCAGTGTCACATGAAACATTTCCTAAATGTGACCTCTGAGGTTTTCATGAACTTTATATTTTACACATAGTTTGTTGGATTTTAAAGTTTTACTGGATTTTGAGTTTATTTCTAGTGCAGAAACGTATTCGTCCGTCAGAGAAAACATTTAGTCCTGAACATTTAAAAACTCTCTGCTGGTGAAGTTATCCTGAGGCTCTGTGTTGAGGTTTCTGGTTTTCAGTTTGATGGACGGTTGATGCAGTTCCAGTCCAGCTCTGGCCCTGGTCCACCAGACCCACATGAGCCTCATTAGCAGCAGCTGATCAGAGCAGCAGCAGGGGAACATGTGAGGTGTGTAAGTGGTCATGAGACTTGATGTTGAGTTTCAATTAAAGCTAAATTGACTGACGAGCTGCTGCTTGTTAAACCGCCACGTCTCAGCTCTGATCTGATGAAAACCCAGCTTTGAGTCTAAGTCTGGCTAACAAATTTCCTAGGAGACTTTTTTTTTAAATTATAGTTCAGTGTGGAAGAATAAACATTAATTGATATTAAGCCTCATTATACATACATACATACATACTTATACTACAAGTTCATTTAATTGAACATAGGATATTATAGATATTTGGAACATTTTATATGTATTGAAACATTTTAAAGCAAGTTACAAGATAAAGCCCTAGTTGACTAATTCTTCAAGCCACCTAATACATTGAAAGCAAGCTAGGCTATTAATGATAACCTGCTAATTATTTGAGCAGGTAATGAAAGAGGCTAATTAAGAATGTATGAGATATTCCTTTATTACCTGAACAATTGAGTTTTTACCTGCTGGTAAAATTCTACAATGTAGGATGTAATCGAGGGTCACCTCTGCTGATGGATGAACCCCAAAGCCCAAGATTGCAATAATAGCATGAATGCCGATATCATTAGTGAATTAGTGAATTAGATCACCCTTGTGCATGAATGAATAATAGCCTAGGTTAACATATTATCAATGATTATGAAGACACAGAAAGATAGAAATACATGATAAAAAATGTGAATTGGTCTCAATTTGGTTTCTTCTGCACTTCTTCTGTTACTTCATATTGTGGCTGTAATAAACGCTGTAGCCTCTATGCAAATGTAAATATCTGTAATTTTTTATCCATCCATTTAGATAAAGTCTTACAGTATGAGTGACCACGTGTGTGGGTGTGTGTGGGTGTGTGTGGGTGGGTGGGTCCGTCAGGGACATTTCAGACTAAAGACACAGTTACATTGGGAAACGGCTTGATCCAATTGGAGACAAAAGCTGTGTCCCCAATTAGGGGTTAGGCTAAGGTTAGGTGGTTCATATAAGTAGTGGTAGGCGTAATGAGGAAATAAATGTAAAAGAGTAGATAAGTAAACGTGTGTGTGCGTGTGTGTGTTGCAGTGTCGTGTCTCGTGTGTGTGTGTGTGTGTGTTGAGCCTCAGGATCAGAGTTAGTTAACAGTGAAGTAAAATCACGTTACTGTCAGCGGGGGCGTGACGCAAAACTAGACTTGCACAACCCAAAAGAAAAAAAAAATCTCAGGAATCCACACACACACATTTTTACACTGCAGCCTCATTGGCTGCTGCTGATGAATGGACGAGTTGTTGACCAATCAGGAGCATGTGACCAGTAAATATGTAGGCCGATCAGCATCAGCTGGCTGCACTCTGAATGTCCCTCCATCACACACACACACTTATACACACACACACACACTCACACAGTTGGTGACAGAGGCTGCTTACAGAAACACACACACACACATCAGTCTGCTTTATATTTATCATTGTCATCATCGGCCGTCTGTCCACCGTCCATCATGCACAGCAAGGAACAAATCAGGTAAGAAAACCTTTTTTTGTCTGTTTTATGTCTTTTTTTAAAACAAATGTATGTTTTGTTGTTGTGTGTCTGCTTTGATACTAATAGTAAGATATTTCTCTCAATATACCAGACCAGTGTTTAGTGAACTTGTTGCTATGTGACCCCTCGTAATTTTTTTATATCGCTTTGTTTTCTTAGAATAATTTTCAGACTCCTATAAAGGTACATTTATTCAATAACTCACGAAAGTCTGAAAAAAGAATAAATTTTTTGTCCTGTCAATCAGTTTATGATCCCTTGTTAAGGTCCTGACCCCAGGACCAACCAGACTTTATAATACTTTATAAAACAACCTGAGATTTACAGTGTAATTTCATTATATGAATCAGGTACTAATACATTATTCAGCAGTTCCTTCTGGTGCTTAAATGTAGTCGCAGCGGAAGAAAACAAGACTGTGGACATTTAGTGGAAAGGTGAAATAAATTATTCTCTTTAACAACATTGAAGTTTGGAGAAAATGGGAATAACAAAACTGATATTCTGCAGAATCTGTAAAGTATGGTATAACGCTTTTTATAATTACAGTACGCTACCAAACTGATGTGTACAGTAAGGAAATGAAAAAGGGCTTTGGAAAATCCCTTAAGACTCAGGTGGAGGTGTTATTGACAAACATATAAAATAAATGGAGAGAAAAGGGGTACAAATCTTGGAATAATGAGGGACTTGACACTTCTCCTTTCCTCCGAATGTCTATTTATTTAAGTATTCATGGTGGATTCGTACAACAAAATGACACTGTAAAACATGGGCAGTACTATAAAGTTTCAGTGGCCCTGAATGTTACCTATTCTGTATTCTGACTTAAGTTTATTTAAGTGATATCCTTTCTCAGTGTTACCTAACATAGAAATACAGTAGTCACACAGACAATGTAATGATCTCATAAGTTTATGTTATGACCACCAGTTTCAATGATTTCAACAGTGTTTCTCAGAAACCATGGTGGGAAATCATAACGGTAGCGAAATCAAATCACTTTCAGCAGTTGTACACAAAACGTTGGTACCATAAAAAAAAATATTTTGACCTAGAAATTAAAAGAGAAGTGAGTTAAGCTGCAGATTATACTGATTGTTTGTGCTGATTAATGAGAAATGTGGATTTTGTTACTTTTGCTAACCAGCTGCTGTCGGAAGCTTCTTATTTAATGAACAAGTATAGGAGAGGAATTAATAATGAGAAAGTATACAAAAAATAATATTGGTGTGTTTGTGACTGTTCACTTATAATCCTACATTTTATCCTAATACTTCATCATTGCCGTCCGTTTTGACAACATTCTGTTGCAACCTCAGTACAGTGACATGTAAACATGGCAGCATCATGGAGTCCAGCAGGACAACAACACGAGCAGTTGCAGCCTAACTCACACTTTAATCTGATTATGTAAACCAAACTGAATGTTAAGGTTTGTAAAGTCCATTACATACTGCAGCTATACCTCCTGATTCAACTTAGACCTGCTTGCCTTATAGAGTTACAAAGTGTGAGGACATAAAAGAGCCCAGAGTCAGAATATTTGGACACTTTAGCATAATTCAATTAAATATTAAAGGAGCTGTATGTGTAATATATAATTTTAAGCATCAATCACTTTTTATTGTTGAATACAAGCTGTCCTCAGAAGTGTCAATTTTTCTACTTTTCTCTTTATTTTCTATGTAACTTTTTACAACGATGTTTAGGAAATGGAGCAGCTGATGACTGCACAGGTTTTTCTACAACAGTATAGGCAAACTTTACATTATAAAGTCTGAGATCATACACTTTACATAGACTCCCTGGGCGTGCAGAGGACCAAGATGTTCACATGCCAGGTGATTAATTAATTAATCTTGAATACCTATGAAAAAACATGAATTCATATATATTCATTTCTTATACTAATATAACTGGTCTGTGATGATTAAATGCAACTTGATTATGTTAAATAACTAGTACAGTATTATTACACACACATCACTTGAAGTGAGGCAGATTGTTCGTTTGTTTTTTCTCTGTTTCTGGCAAATGTCTCACTAACGTAAAATTTGAATAATGTTAAGATCACCATCCGTATAAGGCACCTTCTTCAGTAACTGGGGGCCACTAACTAACATCATCAGTACAACTCCTCATGCTGCTGTCACTGTCGAATTGCCACCGTAGTAATGGCAGCGCCTCTAGATGGCAGAACACAAACCAATCGCCGGATTCATGTACTATTATTACTGCAAAGCTTGTGAAATATAGTGTGATTTTGTATTTTTAGCTTGCTAGATGGCTAATGTAGCACATCCATCCAGAGTTTGAGGCTGATCTGGCGGATAATTGCCGTTGTGGATAACATGTGGCTGAGTTGCAGTTATTGTTAGCAAAATACTATCTGAGGGGATATGTTATTTGTCTAATTCTACAAAATTACTTTACCAGCTAACGTGATCCATAATAACGTTACTAATTTATGTATGATGACAAACTGTGTGATCAGTTATGATCTGAATGAACGGTACAAAATAAAGAATAATTGATCTGGTCCAGAATGCGATGGACCTGAACAGACCCAGCAATATATGTTTCCTCTACTTCACACTCCATGTTCTTCATCTGCCACAGAAATTATTCTGATTCTGATCTGACTGCCTGATTAATTTCCACCTGTCTTTAACTTCTTCTTGTTTGCAGTCATGACGAATACCAGAAGACAGCTGATTGGTTGATGTCTCAGACTAAGCACCGGCCCCAGGTGGCGATAATCTGCGGGTCCGGACTGGGCATGCTTGCTGACACCCTCAAGTGTCAAGACTCCTTTGCTTATTCTGACATACCGGGCTTCCCACAGAGCACAGGTACTCTAAATATATATTTGATTTTATTAATTAACCAGTCAATGTTTTCTTCAGATTTCTGTCAGGGCTTGCTATGCATGTGTTAAAATCATGATAAAGACCTGCAGTATTTCTAGAAATCCATCCAACCAGATTGTTTGTCAATGGGGCAATTATTCATCAATCCCCAACACACTGAACTTCAAACGACAGCTGATCTGGAAGAAATTTATCCCGATTTAAAATTAGGCAAGAGAAAACAAAACGAGGTTAAATCTGGCTTAATCCTTACAATGTCTGCACAGTATTACAGTACAACTAAAATATGAATAACTGAAGATGAACTATTAAAGCAAAGGAAGAAAAAAGATTGTCTGATTACAACATGCATGAACAGTAACTGACATGTCTAGCGTAGCTTAGCACAAAGAATGGAAACAAGGGGAAACTGCTAGCACTGTGTTGTGGTGTGATATAGAGGGCGAAACAATAGCAGCATTCAACAGACTTGCTAAAAGGTGCATGTGAGCCCGAAACCCATGCATGACCTAACTGCGTTTCAAGAAACACACACACACACACACCACACACACCACACCACACACACCACACGGGTACACACACTACTCTCACACAACAGGTCATGGTTTACATGGTTTAGGTTCACACTGCGCGATTAGCTGCGATATTTGTTGTGTACCACCAATAGTTGCGTCGGAACTGAGTCGCTTTAATCCAGTCATCACAGTGTGAGTCTGTCCTGCTGCTGGCAACACCTGAATTTGTACCCTTCTGGGGATCAATAGAACGGGGCTCTTATTCTTTCTGGATCTTAGGCTTATCTTAACTTATATTATCTTCTTATTCTTAATTATGTTATCTTATATTCTGCATTATCTTTATGTTATCTTATGTCTATCGTTATCTTATTTTGTTATTTTTTCCATAATGCATCTCAAATGTTCTCTATTGTATTATCGGTATTGTATTCTGTATTTAATTGTTTTAATGAGTATAAATAGTGTCTTGCTGCGTTGCCTGGGCAACTGTGGTCCTGGTCAAGGATTTACGTTGGAACAGTAATCCGTCTGTCCAAAGAAACAAGCTAAGAGTAAAAAACTCCAATCGTGCTGTTTATTACCGAATAGGCCTAGCTGGTTTCCCTTGTTCATTGTCTTATAGCTGGTGATGGTGGTAGGCTTCATATGTTACTGTACTTCTTAACCTTTATTGGTAACTCGGAATACATTGGAGGCAGATGACCTATTTACGAATAGTAAAAAGTGTAATAAGAATAAAATAAAATAAAAGACCCCCCCCCCCACATACATACACTTGTAGGAACTCTTGAATAAAAGGAAAATGGGTAGACAATTTGTCCAAGATGTTGAAACCGGGTTCCTTTAAGTGTGTGTATTCTGGCTGTGCACTGGTACGCTTTGCAGAGTGAGTGTCCGTGTCATACATGTGGAAGCCACCTGCATGCGACCACACGACGTCTTCGGCCCTTCAACTCCCCGAAAACCCAGCCGAGCGCTGGCGGAGGTGACGCCTGCGACTGGCAGGACCCCACACACACACACACAGGCGCACAGCACACACGACACACGGTTCAGGGTCAGAGGCGAAAAGTTAGCGCAGGGCTGATTAGCCAGCCTCCGGGATAGGCTAACTTGTACGGATAACAGCGGTGTAAAGATGCGTTCCGGTCTTCATAGTATGCCAGAGTAATTTTCGTTGGTCGATACCGACATGTGTTGATTTTGTGTAGATACATGTAACGATTACCCATAGACAGTGGGGAGCTGTGTAGCAC